TTTTAACCTTTAGCCTTTAAGTAAAGAGGTGAATAATTGAATCAATAGTAATAAAGATTTCAATAATTGTCTATGGATGGAAACATATCACTAACTAATTATAATAATAAATAGAATATAATAAAGCAATAACAATAATAGGATTTATATGACATTGAATAAGCATTTATACCAAATAAAAATTACAATAATAATATACACGAGATCTAAAAATACTTTTCGATAAAATATTATTTCACTTTATGCAAACAATAAAATTTTTTTTTACGAAAACGCGACAGGATGAATCTTGGATTCGTTACGGTTGTAAGCCAAGGTAATCGACTATTGCCTCAAGAGAACGTAGTTTACTGTTCTTGCTAATGCAAAGCAGTTTCATATTATTACTAATGGTGCCATTGTCATAATATCGAATAATATTTATAGATTTTCTTATAATAAAAATAAAATTTCAAATAAAAAGTATCTATCTAATATATAAGAATTATAAGAAAAACATACATTTATATAGTTCAGTTATGGCGTAAAAAAAAAGAACAAAAAAAAAAAAAATATAACCAAAAATCCATTCGATCTCGAACAAATCAATTTTTAAAAGCAATTTTATCTACGAAAGTTTATGTTCTCCTCTCGAGACTTATTAATCAAGCAACGAATCCAAACACTCTTATCGGATCATGCGAAAGCAAATGGTCAGCTATATCTGCCAGACGACCGACGTATTTACTTCCATTACTTTAAGGGCTGAAAAGAACGAAGTTCCTTCTTCGAGGGAAGCTTATTGCCAATATTGTTCGTTTTTATGAGAAACGAAACTGCTTATATACGATTTGGTATATTTGACTTTTTATGTCAACCGTATAAAAAAGATATGGATAGAGGAAGAAGAATGACACATGAGAATAATTTTAACTACGTCTCATATTGCTACGTCTTTTGTTATAGAATAGCCGCTTCGATTTTCAATAAAATGATCGTGTTATTACCTTGTGGGAAACACCGACTATTCAACTTTATCCTATGCTATTGAATGTCACAACAAGGAATGGTTTGAAGTTCTATAGGTTATCCCATCGAAAACATCGCGAACCAATTCGTCGATGTAAGAGCGCGCTTCGTTCGCTTTTTCTCCCCTCCACTGTACGCAAATTGCGACGTAGATCGTATCTATATAGAAAAGTAGTTCGTTTACTCGAGTTATAAGAATAACTGACAGATTCTCTTCTTTGCCATAGACGATCGTATAAAATGATCAAGACGATCAAATATGGTCAGATTAAGCTTATGAAATGAAACAACGATCTCCAAGGAGATAGAAGATTGAAAGAGAGAAAATGTAAAAAGGATCAACGTTCGAGAGATGCAATCGTGTAATTTTAATAGCGAAATGTGCTACTCTCGTTCGGTCGTTAATACGAATTTTAATCGCTCGTCGTAAAGAGATCGCGCGTTCGAATATCTGAAGGAGGGGATTCGCACGTTCAAGCAATAAAGATGCTTTTATTAAATCTTGTTCACGGTCGATACTTTGCTCCGTCTTATCTTCCTCTCTTGCTTTTGTTCCTACGCCACACTAAAAACCTCGATGGTTTACGAGCCATACCATTCGTCCTGTGCCCCTTTATGGTGATCGTGACGACTGAAAGGACAGCACTGATGTATCCTGTAATATCGTTTCCGTCGTCGGATTCTCTTGCCGACGGATAAGAACGTAAATGAACGTTCCTTAATATCAAACTGGTTTGTTTAATGACTCTGTGCATACTTCTTTTTTTTTTTTTTTTTTTTTTTTTGCCGTATGCCGTTATGCGAAGGCATCGAAGCGATTTTAACAGTACGTGCATATTATAAAACACGAAGTGCCGTTCGTTTCATCACGGAAATATTATTTTATGACGATAAATATTTGAATAAAAAGCCTATCATATTACTAGTTGTCTGTATTACACATCTCGCGACATAGTTATATAGACAAATCACGTGTTCGGTACATGCTTATTAGATACATGTCAATATATATCTCGTTCGAGGTATTTAAGGAATGCCATCCAATGAAAACCACTTGACGTGTAACCTTCTCCTATCTTTCGCATATCACGATCTCCCTTTACGCATTTCAGACAAAAGAATACATATGTAAGTATACATATGTGGATAACATAGGTTAGGATGACTGACAACGATGAACTTTCAAACAATGTTAATAATATTCCATCCTAGCGACATATTTCAATAACAACGCGCTACAACAACAGTAAAATTTATAACTTTGATCGATGATTACGTTTAAATGTAATATAACACGCATCGAGAAGAATTCGATTCGAGAAATCAGAATCGGATGAAGATGGCACCGGCACCTAAGTGGACGAGATTGAGAGGATGGAAGACTAACAGGCGCGACTTAATGCGAATTATTAAGCGTTTGTAGCTCACGCATCGCGTGTTCTGAGCAAAGATAAAGCAAAGAGGCGCGAGATCGTGTATATGTATATACACCGGAAGGTTGACGCCGCCAGCGGAGCCGATTAATCGGCCTGGGAACCAGTTTGTTGGAAATAAAATCTGCTCGATGGAATTGTTGCTTGACCATAGGACGTCAACGTGCCTTCTTTTAAAAGTGTGGCCTGCAGGGACGCATCGACAGCACCGGCGCGCTTCTTCGGGCGCATCCTCTGCTAGCGTATCACCGCTATCATCGGGGCTTCCCCGATCGTGATGTCATGTGCGTGTCCGATCGAAAGGGATTCTTTGCTTATAAAGCACTTTAAACGGGCCAATTTTTACGTTCAACGTATTTAAAATTTTTGTAGGCTATCTTCTTATCTTGTCATCGTATTTTATTCTTCTTTTTTTTTGATATTTTATGTTGGTAATTAATATAATGGCAATAAAAGTCGCGAAAATTTAATTTACATAGATATTAAAAATCGATAATTGATAATAACAAATTTAATTTCAATATAAAAGTAGATGTTAAAATATATTTACAGGTTTTAAATATATTTCTATATGCTTGTATAAAAAATTCTTATGTTATATTATTTTTTTGCGTTCATTTCGCAAATAAGAAATAAATGAGAAAAATAAAAAGATGAATTTTATTATTTCTTGTGTGTAATAAAAATGGATTGTTGAATAGAGTTATTAAATTTATTTCTTAAAACAATTTTTTTGTTATAATCTTTTGAATTAATCTTTCATTTTATTCATTTTATACGAAAATAGTTCAAAATAATATTCAATGATACTGATATAATATAAGAAAAAATATAATATAAGAATATATAATTACTTTGCATTTTTTAATGAATTTAATATCAAAAGTTATAGAATTTAATAATTAATTTATGCCAAATTTATATAATTTATTTGACTAAAAAATGTAATATCTGATCTTTGATTTGAAAAGAAATTATGAAACATGTTAATAAAAAAAATACCTATATTACTGATAGATAATGGACACAATTGAAAGTATAAAGGTAAACTTATTGAGCGATATCTACGGACAATAGGTGAAACGATCTATAGAAAATTGTCCTTCGAAGCGAACGTTTCGTCACCATCTCCATACGTATACATATACCTTTCTCTGTACGGAAATGTGATCATACACCTTTATACTCGCGAATATCTCATATGTTTTGCCAATGCTTCGTTTGAAACGCTAAAATAAACGTTTACGCTGCGGAAACTTATATCGTCGCTCTCGTAAAAATATCGCCATAATCTTGTAAGCTGACCACCTATCAAATATACTAGTAAACTCGAACACTTAAACGTTTATTCTTTTAGGTTAGTTTTACACAAGATCTTGCAAAATAGTTTTGCTATAAATTTTCAACTAAATTAATTTAATTATATAAATTATAGAATTATTAACTCTAGTTGAAGAATTCTAATAAAATCTCTAGTTGACAATGAAAAAAATTTTCATTACAATAATACGTTTCAAACCCATAATAGAGTGACAATAATTAATTGGCAATTGCATCGAATGAATATTTATGTAAAAGTAATATAATATATAAAAGAAAATATCAATCAAGCAAATCAATCTGTCTAACACAATCACTGACATATTGGTCGTTTAACTGCATAGTGAGATTACACGAAATATACGACAGTATAGTCGAGACATAATTAACTTTTCAAAAGTTTGACCGGTACACCGTTGCGGCGCCGTGATCGCAATTTTAATGGTTCGTCAAAAATGGTAGAGAATTACAGATCGACAAACTTCGCCATACGTCTCCCAGAGGAAATTATCGAGAATGAAAAGCTCGAACAGTTTCGATGAACAGATCAGATAAATGTAGATCACAAGATTAACAGACAGCACACGATATATCGTTTTCAATCGGCACTATCTACGAATTAATGTCGCTCTTTTTCCATCTATCGAATCGAACATTTATCTTCGATGTTAATTTTTACGGAACATGCTAGATATACTTGTTTTTTATTTTAATATTAATATTTCTTCATTGCAAATGAATGAAATCAATTAAGTACCACAACAAAAATTTAGAAATGTTTATAATTCATGAAGATATTAAGATTTGAATTAATAAACAGTATATTTACTTTCACATTTCATTTGTAAAAATGAAAAATAAAAATTATATTCGTAATTTATTATTATACGAGTAAAAAATGTAATTATATTTTAAAATAAATTATAAAATAAATCGATTCAATTGTTTATCAAGTTAACAATTTCGTAAAAGAATATTATATAGTAAAATATATTTCCAACAACAAATTTTAATGATTAATAATTAAAAAGATAACGATAGTTTTTAAAAAAGTAAAAAAAAAAAAACAATTTTTTATATAATTATAATTATACCGAAACCTATTTAAATTATTCTTTAAACAAAGCATGCTCCTCGAAGAAAATAATGTAAATGCGAAGAAAAGATTCAACTTCTCGAAGATATGGACCGAGATGTTATCGATATAATGAACATAACAATCGTATTGTAGAAACTCACCACCAGTTAGCCTGCGCGCCGTTTTGCCACGCGACAAGCAAGAATGGTATGAATAAGAAAATCGTCACAATAGGCCGCATCTTTGATCGCAATTTGATGATTTGCTGACTCTGGATCTTTCGTTGATCAATGGAAAAAAAAGAAAAGACAAAATTGTCCGTCGCTTCTGTTTCAGCCACGCATTCTTACGAGAGTCGATATCGATCGAAGAGTCGCATCGACAGTTGATTCCGAGGCTGACAGATCGAGATCGAAAGTTGTCCGTTATCCGATTCGATCTTTATCCGACGTATAATTCCAGAATACGATGACTTTTTTCTTTTTTTTTCTTCCTTTCAATCGTGTTTCCTTTTACATGTTTGTCGTTTCGGATAGATCACTGATCTCGTGACAAGTAGACAAGGACGTGACGAAAGAACGATTTTTTGTTCCAGCATGCACTCTTTTTTTCACACGATAACGCGTTCAGAATCGCGATTTTTAAATTAGATAAAGCGTATAAAACGTTCCACCGACAATAAAAAAATATGGAGAATTTATATTCTACGACGGAAAAGATTGAAGTATGCTCAAGTTTGCAATATGCCTCTCTATATTAGACGCTCGTCTCGAAAATGTGAAGCGAACGCGAATACGACAACACTCCGTGAACGTTCGCCTACGTACTGTGGCTGGCAGTCACGAGGAAAAGGGCAACGGGGTTCTCTCAGTGGGCGGAGCCTGCAGTCACTTGCTAGTACGCGATTGGCTATGTCATGGAAGAACCACCGAGGCTCCACTCGCGTTAATTAAGCATTTCGGCACTCCGTCCCGACTTCGAGATTCGCGTATGAGCTCGCTCGCGATTCGTTCACCAACCACGTATGTTTCTACAACTTTCATGTAAAATTCTAGAAAGAAAATTAATATGTATATTTACAATAAAGAAATAAAGTGTCGAAACCGTGACAGATTTTTATGATTCTCTTAGTAAAGAGTGCAAATTCCATTGTGAATCGATAAAAATCGATTCAGATCAATAATTTGAAATTTATACGATAATATGAAAGGTTAGTATCAAATGAAAATAACTATACAATTATATGATTTGTAAGAGAATAATTTTCTTTGACACAAGAGATATATATAAAATAAAAAATTTAAATCGAAAATGTTTCGAAATAATTTTTAAAATTACGATATATATCCTACATCATGTGTTTTATATGTATATATAATGTATATATATGTATATGTAACTACTTTTATACATTTTACTTTTTATACATATGTGTGTAATTATGTTGAATATAATCTATTGATTACTTTTTATTTCGATTCATTTAAATTAATTATCATTACTCATACATTTATACTCTTATTTAAATAACTTTTATCGAAATTCTTCGTTGAAATGAGTGTATATTAGAAATAAATTAAATATAATATCAGAATAAATGATTTATTGCTATTATTTGCAAATCATATCAATTATAGGACGTCAAACTTTGAATAAAGAAAATAAAAAAAAAATACTATCATGTATTGAACAGTTTTATCCCGAGTTATACGACAATGTGTTTGATTAAATGGAAGTTCTAATATGAAATAATGAAAATTTAAAAAATTTTGTAATGAATAGATATATACAAGATTCTATAGTTAATTTTCTTTGAATTTTTTGTGACTTCATGAAATTTCATAATGATTTAGTAATTATTCATAATTTATATTAATTATATTTAATATTAATATTAAAAAATATACAATTTATACAAAAAATATATATATAGAACTTTTTAATAAATATTGTTTTTATATAATACTTATCATTTTTTTACAATAGTCTAAACATATTCTTTACAATAGTTTTAATGCTAAAAAAAGATAATTTCCTTATAAATATATATGTTTTAATATTTACAATATTGATATTTTTTTTTCCTTCTCTATCTACCTACGTCAATATTTAAATATTTTATTTTTACAATATTATTTTAAAATACATGATTAATAATCTCAAAATATTATCAATTTTTTCATCAATTTTTAATAATCAATTTCTTTTATTTTTCTTTAACATTTCAATGAAAAATGTCTACAGATAATAATTAATTTCAAAATGTTGACATATTGATAATAATTATATTATAATATACATAATTCGTTTTTAAGAAAATATAGTAATAATTTTTTAATATATAACATCAGTTGATAACAATTAATAAGCACGAACAAGATATAAATGCAGATTTGACTCGATGAGATTTTTTTTTGCCACATTCTACAATATCGATCGCGTAAAAAATAAAATGTTTGATGTGTTCTATGATTTACAATAATAAATATAAGAATTATATTAAATCTAAATACTAAAAACAAACAAAAGAAAAATATATATATATAAATAGACGAAAAATATTTTATAGTACTTTATGTCACATGTTCTGAAATACCAACCTCGAAAAAGAGTGTTTCTTACGCCATCTAGCAAACTATAATTTAAGTATGTAAACGAAATCACTTAAAAAGTATTAAATAAATAAAAATTTCTATTTATATATATCAATAATTTTAAGAATTGAAATGAAAATTCATAACATTATAATAAACTTTTTATTTATTTAAAAAAATAATAATTGAAGTTATAATTATTTTTTAAAATAAAATATATAAAATTATAATTTCGATATTGGTTATATAGTGATGTTATATATTATATATTATATATTAAATAATGATTTTTTAAGTCTTACCTTGGAAGCTGTTGTTACATTGAAGATATCTGATTTATTTCCTTTTTGTATGAAAATAATAATTTATTTTTAAATAAAATTAAAAAAAATTCTCTTTTTATTGCACATTTAACAATACAAATGATAAAAAAAGATTGTAAAAAAACCAACGCAAAAAATTAAATCGAAAAATAAAATTTAAATTGAAAAATTATCCAATTAGATATTTTTCATTATCAAGATTTGTCTAATGAAAAAAATGAAATATTCTTTCTGTTTTTTCTGTTGTAAAAGCTAAAAGATTTCTTAAAAAACAAAATATAAATAGAATTGATAAAACATTCATCCGAAAAGAAAGAAATATATTTTTTAATAATATCTTCGATAATAAATATTTTTAATAAATGCTAAAAAGAAAAAAACAACGAAAAGATAGTCAAAAAAGTCTATTCACTTCATATAAACTATGAATAAACCATCTTTTTTATTTTGCAATACTAATAAACTAAAATTTTAAAAAAAAAGAAGAATACTTGCAATACATTGTATTTACAACGCAATAGTTGTTCAAGAAAAAAAAAAAATAGAAAATTCACGAAAGCATATACTCTTAGATATTTTAACTATTTATCAAAATAAGATGTTTAATAAACAAATTTATACACTCATATTTCATTATATATAATATTAATAATGAAAAATTGTAACAAAACTTATCATACAACCATAATTTTAATTGCACTTTGATAACCTATAAACTATAGAAACTTCTTTTAAGTGAAAGAAATATAAGCAATTTATAAATGCAATATTACTATAAAAAATGCAATTATTTATCAACACAACACTGTTTTGAACAATACGAATATTTATCAACGCAATACTAATTTTTAAAGTGAATTTAACACAAAACAAATATTATTTTATAAATAAAAAATTATATATATATTATATATATACCGATATTATAAATCACGACATTAAAAAAATATGTTAATTTATAATCAAAATAATTAAAAGCAATTATAATACTTTTTACAACACAATACACTAACATGACTACCATTTTATTGTAATTTAAAACTCAAGATTTGTAAACGCAATTCTAACGTAATTTGCAACTAACGTAAAATCGCGATGTCTATGATGATTGGATCTTGACATTCAAATCGGTGAAATATAATATTTAATAGATATCATTAAAATAAGCATAATGATGTAACAATTTTTTAGAACTAAAAATAATTTAAAAGATAAGAAGCCATTTCTCAAATAAATCGTAGATTAATAAATAAATCGATAAATAATCTGTAAATAAGTCAATAAATAAATTAATTAATAAAAAAAATATAGAAATGGAATAAATAATTAATAAATTAAAAATTAATAATACATAAATAAATTAAATAATAATATATTATATTTTTAATTAAAATATTTAATGCAAAAATAACTTTTTGTGCGATTTTGATTATAAAATTGGCTTACGATGTTAACCAATCAGAAAGTCGCTAAGTAAACTGTGGCGGGCAACGTTAGTCTTCTGTGGAAAATCATCATGACGGGCTACGTGATCGTGATTTTGATGATTTGACTATGTTATAAATAATTTTATTCGTATTTTGTTATCGAATTTACAAATTATTATCAGTCTCGTTTATTTAATAATCCATTTATCACTATGATAAAATTAATTAGTGTTTTGAGTTTTTTGTCAGTCGTTATGTTAGGTTATCGATAGTTTGTGTTTCATTAAATTGAAATTTGAATTCATTTATTGTTTCATTCTAATATAATTTTTTTTATACATTTGTTTTATCTTTTTTTTATAGATTGATTTTAATTTTCATTTGAGCAAATAATCATTCGATTATCGGAATAGTTTCGAAATATAATTTGTAACATATACATACCATAGCGACTTTTAGCTGATGATTTTGATATTTTATTCGTTTTAACAGAAATAGATTTATTTAAAATAAGTTTCTATAGTCTTTTCATACTAAAAAAAAGTATATAAGATCAATTTTATTTTCTTAAATTAAATTATATTACTAATATATATAATTGCGTTTTACATATAAATACGTTTATCTGTAATGTTTATATATTTTTTCTCTTTTTCGTCCAATGTTATACTCGAGACTGATGACATTTTTTTCGTAATATAACTTTTCCAAGAAATTGTGAGTTCGCGTTTGTGTCATATTCAATATGTTTCGACTTGTCGCCAAGCACTTCTTTCGTGATTCGAAAATCGAAATTGTGACGCGTCACAATTGATAGATCGATATTTATGGTGAATAACAGTTTCATTTTTTACTGCATAGTATATACATATTTCCTTTCACAATTATATTCATAATTATTATCATTTATATATTATTATTAAATCAATATGCTATATAATTGACTATCTTTCGAGAGCTAAATTATTCGCTTTTTTTAAATCATTTATTTATATATATTTTTTATAATTAACTAATTATAATTAATTAATTAACTTATTCCAGTTAACTTATGACATTTTAAGATAGGATTTGTATTTGATTATAATAATTGTGTTTGATAATAATGTCTATTAATTTTATATATTTTATGCATTTATTTGAATATTTTTATTTGTAGATTAGCTGATGAAGTTTCAATATGGATCTTATATTTTTAAAAAGAAGTTTGATGTTTTGTATCGTATATATTTACTCTATTCAATCATTTTTATATGATATATTTTATCATTTCAACAATATTTATACTTTTATAATGAACATTTATCATATTTTTGTTTAAATAATAATTATATTTTATAAAATTTTACAAAATCTTTATTCATAAAAAATTGATAATCAATCCATAGTTTCAAAAAAACGAACAAATCGTCTAATAATATATGAAACAAATTAATTCGGTAAA